GAGTTTGGTATCATTAGATCTGGTAAAAACATTTCCTTGAAAGATAGAACGAATAAACCATATACTTTAATTAATTAATTAACTCATTTATTCTTTATGAGCTCTGCATAATATTTTTTTAAATCATTTCATCTCTTTTTTAAAAAAGTGTTTAAAGCTAAACTTTAACAAGATTAGACAGGAACCACTAGTAAGAAGCTTAAAATTTTTGGATGATTTCTGATGAATATTTGTTCTTTAGATAGAGCTAGACGTGTAAAATTTTGTTGGTATATCGATCATATCTCTTATATTATTTGGCTGTGATTTTTCCGGGATCATCTTTATGAGTTGGAGTCTTGGAGATGTGAACTATCGTGCAAATCAATTTCACCTGATGTCATGTGATTATAAACAAAAATGAAAGTATTTATTTTTTTATTTTAATTTGATGAATGTTTAAATTGCTCAATTATTTTTATTTTTTCTTTTTAGGGATTCTTTGAAGTACCTTAATTATACCTTTCATTAGCAATGCAAACATTCCGGATTTATTATTAGTATAATCAGACTTGAAGTTAGTGGTCATAAGCTATCTCACCAGCTGGCAAAGTGTATGAAATTTCTTTTAATTCACTTGCTAAAGTCATCTTTAGTGTAGGTCTAGTAATACATTGCCTTAATTGAGCGTGGCTACAAAGTTTATGATTCCACTAGCAATTGACCTATAGTCACATGATAGTCACATGCTAGAAGTGTTTTAGTTGCTAAATCTGAGGCTATGAATCTCTGATTTATTTTTCTTTAAAAAATTTTTTATGCAATAAATATATATTTGTAATTAAAAGCTGCATTGTATTGATATTTATTAATAAATAATTACAAAAAAAAAATTATTTGTTTCTGATTGTATGACAATAAGCAACGCAAAAATATTTATCTTTTAAAAAATTATTGTATATAAAAAATGCATTTAGAATACCATGAATATGCTACAAAGATGTCTTCTTAACAATTTCACAATATTGTAAAAAATATCTATCCGGTATAGTTGAAATGTCATGAAAATTAACGTTACATGACCACATCAATATCATCCAAATGTCATTTCATTATTGGGATGATATACCAAAAAAATTTGATTGTCACATTACTTTTAAGATTCATAGACAGTATAGTTAAGGTAGCTTAATGATACCTTAAAAAATTTTAAGTTTCTGCAAAGTAGGTTTACAGGAAAATTTTTCTCAATGAGGAACCTCTTCATGATGATATTTTGGAGGTAATTTTAATTTATTATTTATGTAAAAAAAATAATAACACCCAAAGAAAATAATTATTAATTCTTTTTTTAAAGTTAAAAAATAAAAATTAAATTACTAGAGGACAGCAAATACAGGTGATCATTTGACGATAAGTTCAATCTTTGTTTTTCTCATTAGTTACGTTATAAGACAAGTACAAGATGATGATAATTTATTTAAAAGTATCAAATTTAATGTTAATAAATTTGTTGGAAAGGAATATATTGTTGATAAAATGTAGATGCTTAAAAGCGGATAAGAGAATTGATAATAAAGCGAAAAAAATCCATAAACAGATTCTTTTTCTTAATATATTCTACATTATTACAAACAAAAACATAAATATGGTGCAAGTAAACTATACTCAACAATAAAATTGTAGTACTAAAAAATCTCATAAAATTTTAAAAAATAAATTTTAAAGAAAATAAACTGGTAGTTTTATTCTTCAAGACAAGTACTATCAAATTACCGGTCAGATATTTGAAAAAAGATCTGTATAAAAAGTTATAGGCGTTTAAAACTAACCAATTTTTATATGATCGGCCTAAATTTGAAACAAATTGAATCACATGTGCCCTATCTTATTGGTCAAAAATTTTTATAATTCAGGCCGAAATTATGATATTTCAATGCTTGCCCGAATTATCACATTCATTTGATGAGAAAATTCCTTTAACAATGAGAAAACCTTCTGATTTATGAGAAAATCATCACACATTTACTGATGCCATGTAAAACAAAATGACAACAACAAGTTAGTAAGATACCTAGGGAAAAGGTTGTTATATATTACAATACCATGTAATTTAAATATGAAGAGTTTCAATGAATAAATTTTTCGTTTTGACATAACAGATAAAATATTATGTACGAAACAGTGTAACATATAAAAATTCTCGTTTTTCATTGGATAAGGTCTGATCACGTGATATTAAAACTTGCGCCAGAAAATTGAAACATCATCACGTGATTGTCACGTATAGTTTACTTGCACCATACAAACTTACAATAAATAACATTAACTGAAAAAATATTAAAGACCGTGCCAACTTAATTCCTGATGCCACCCTAGTTATACTATGAAAATCGTTACATATTTTACGTTTAACAAATTTTACAAATTACTTGTTGTTAATCCAATTATCTAACGTTCATATCTTTTAAAGAAGCTAAAGCAGCTAAATATTTAACTTCAAAGTAACGTTAATACTGAAAAATAAAAATGAGAGAATAAAGTTGCGAAAGTTATGCAAATTAAACATCATTTGATCATATGATTTTGATCTTCGGTATAACGAACTTATTTTTATTATATACTATTATAAACGGTAAAAATGAAAACTTCGGTATAATGTTATATAAAATTTTATAGTAAAATCAGTATTTCAAAAGATTTTAATTATTAATGAAAATGGTTATACAAAAATCTTCGGTATATGGTGATCTTCGGTATATCGTGGCTTCGGTATATCGAGAGTATACTGTAGATATAATAAAATTCTTGAGACCCTTTTTTAATAACAGTAGATTTGGTAATAGACTATTATTAACTTATTAAGTTAATGATTGTTTTTTAGTAGTGGTGCAGACTTTTAAACCTTAGGTTGTTATGTCATTTTTTTCAACATCCCGACCATCCTGTCACATTGTTGTATGGTGCCATAAATGACTTTTGCCATATGGAATTTTTAGACTTTTAGACTTTACATGAACTTTTTATGTAATTACTTTTATATTTTTTAGACTTTATATAATTGTAACTATTTTTAAACTTAATATACTTAACATTAATATAAATAATATAAACTTTTTTTTTATTTGAAAACTGCTTTTAAATTTTTTAAATTTGGAATTTAACACATCACCATATACTACTACTAAGATTTTATAGATTTACAAAATCCAATCTTTCAGGATGGAGAAAATGGATTGTGTGAAGAACTAAATATACCTAATACTATAAAGAAATATAGAATTTAATCCTATTGACATAGTTGATGATATTTTAAATACTAGATTAGAGTAAATTGTTTACATGCTATCATTATGAATTTATATCCTTTGTTTAAATACTAGTAATAGTAAAATTGCATATAGAAAAATGTTAAATAATGCTATTAATTAAAAGAAGGAGTAATTGTTATTATTTTTAGTTATATATAAATAATATAAAATATGCTAATTTATTTAATTTTTTATTTGTTTTAATTATTTAGAGATTTTTTTAATAACAATAAATTGGTATAATATAATGGATCTAAAAAAATTCTCTGGAACTTTTTCTAATAACAATAGATTCAATAGATTAGTATAAAAAAATTTCTGGATCTTTTTAATGACAAATTTATTTGTAGTATAATAGACAGATATAATAAATTTATTTGAGATTTTTTTTAATAATAATTGATTGATATTGCTAATAGATGCATATAAAAAAATCTTTGGATTTTTTTTAGTAATAGATCATTATGAAAAATATTTTCCAAGATTTTTTTCTATTTAATTAATGATAGATTGATAATAGATAATTAATGTTTCAGTAAGATTCTTTTTAGTTACCATTAATAAAAATTTTTTATATCTATAGATTATATTTAATGAGATTTGTAAAAAAGTTTCTTTTTTTTTTAATAACAACCCTATAAAAAATTTTTAGAAAATTGATCACATATTGGAGTTCTTTTGGAATGAAAACTAGAAAAATGATCATTTATTGGAATTTACCCAGAAAATTTTTTATAAAGTAATAGATATGATAAAATTTTTTGGTGATTTTTTTTTAATAATAATATATTGGTATATGATGCAAATTAACAGTAAGTAGCTGCTAGTTTTTTTATGATAAAAATTGGGCAATTTTTTTATAACAATTGAAAAAAAAATTTTTATTTTTCAATAGAAAATTGGCCAATTTCTTTTTCTAAATTAAAAAAATTTTTATTATTTTTAATAAAAATTGCTCAATTTATTCTATTATTAAAAAATTATAAAAAAGTGACCTATTTAAAAAAAGTAGGTAAATGTTTTTTAATTGTTTTAACAAAATGTTGTAAAAACGTTTTTTATTAATAATTTTCATAAAAAAAATGCGAAAACGTAAATCAATTAGTTGCCTGTGTCACCAAAATTAAAAATGTTCATATTTTTTTATTCCGTAAAATAAAAAATTTTTTTTTTAATTTATTGCTAAAATAAATAATATCTTTGCTTAAATTTAAATAGTTCCCATTTTTTTTTTGATTTTTTTTCTAATGAAATAATTAATTAATTTCACTAGAAAATATTAGAAATTTTTTTTGTTCGTGTAAAAAAATTTTTTGATGATCAACATAAAAGTAAGAAATGTAAATTTCTTCATGATCTATCAAGTCAATAATGATTTTTAGTAGCACAGAAGAACTCAGCGCAAAAAGTTTCCACTTATAAAGGTAACGCAACGCATTGTTCATAATTTTAACTTAGTAATCCTAATTTTTATTGTGATAAATATATATATAATATGCCGTATATTTTTTTTTATTTTATTGCCATCATAGTCTGACAGTTTTATTGAACCACAACTTCAATGGGTCAGAAAATATGGAAATATTGTAAAATACAATGGATTATTTAATAAACCAACCCTTTTTGTCGCAGATCCAAAAATAATTCAAGAAATAACTTTAAGTAAAACTTATGACTTTGTCAAACCTTTTAGTACAGTTGGTATTTTAACTTCTCGGTGATAGTCTTTTATTTGCGGAAGGTGATGATCATAAGATACAAAGAAAAATGATGAATCCAGCTTTTGCTTACAGTAATATCAAAGTAATTATATTTTGTCATAGAAAATTTTAATTTTGAACCAAATTAAATAAATTAATATTTTTATTTTAATTTAGGAAATGGTTCCAATATTTATTCATGTATCTTCTATTTTAAAAGGTTTAATTGAAAATGAGATAAATCAAGGAAATTCTAATATTAATCTTACACCCTATATCTCAAAGGCTGCTTTGGATATTATTGGTTTAGTAGGTAAAAGAAAAAAAAAATTTTTTCCAATACTGACGCATTAATAATAAGAAACTGAAAAATCTACTTTTTTTAGGATTTAGTTGTTAATTCAATTCGTTGACATCCTCAAACGAATTGGCAACAGCATATAATTCTATTTTAAATAGCTCACCAAGTACTTTACAAATTGCCATTACAATATTATCAGAATATGTTCCATTTATCGGAGATATTCCAATAGGTATGAACGTGAAATTTAAGAACACGTGTGCAGTTATTAGCCGCATATCAAAGAAATTAGTTGAAGAAAAGTAGAAAATGGAGTATTAAAGAATAAGGATTTGCTATCATTATTAATCAATACCAATAAAACATTACCCGATGAAGAAACAATGACTTACGAAGAATTAAAAAATCTAGTAACTAAAGAATAATAAATTATTTATTATTTATTAATTTATTAATTTTTGATTATTTACCTTTTTTTGGTAAATATTTCAGCTTATGACATTTTTAATTGCAGGACATGATACTACAAACGTTGCAACTTGTTGGGCTTTATATTTACTCGTACAACATCCACATGAGCAAGACTTATTACGTGAAGAATTAGTTAAAGCTTAACAGTCAGTGGTCATATCAAGGATCGGCATGGGGAAATGTTTTTATTATGATGATTGGCATGATGTCGATCATTTTTTGTAAAATCATTTTTTAGCTAAATAAAAATAATTTACATAATAATATATACTGAAATTTTATACGTGACTGCATTTTATCTCAAAGTTAGAATATATTAATTTTCATTATGATTTAATAAATATTGAATAACTTTTATTAGTAGTGAATTTTTGAGCAATGAAAAATTGCCAAGTTTTATGACATTCTAACTTTAAAAGTGTTGTTTCACCATGATTTATAACCATATGATATGTGAAACTGTGAGACATGAAGAAAATATTTTTATCTTCATAATGTGTAAAAGAACTTGTTAATAAGTTGCATCTTTCAGTTCTATTTCACCTATTTTAAGCAGTTAAAAAAACGTGAATTGCAATGTTGGAACAAGACTACAGTATTCCTTCGCCAACACTTTCACCATTTACTGTAAATTTAATGGAAGAAGAATATGTTGACGAAATAAACAGTGAGCATGAAAGAATTTCACTTTCACTTAATGAATTGCTAGCTGATAATGATACTGATAGTACTAGTATTAATAGCGAAGATTTTGAAGAAGAAGTTGAAGAAGAACAGAAAGTTTGCAATGAAAAAGATGAAATCATAGATAATTTAGAACAAACAAGATTTACACCATGTGTAATTGTTGATTTTATTGAAGGTGAGATTAAGCAGTGTAAAAAAACAGCAAATTTAAGACAACTTCGCAATTTATTTGGTACTTGGCAAGTTGATAGAGATGCGGTTAACAAAGTTAATGGTGTTTTATCAAAATTAGGTGTATGCGATTCACACTTCCAATTTGATAATAAATATTTACATTAATCACTGTTCAAACAAACAAAGGACTTTGATGAAGGAATTATTCAATGGCGTCAGTGTATTTTCTGTAACAAATATATCACATTTTTTTCTAGGGGTAAAGGATGTATGGTACACTCATGGTATTTAAACAAAAAAAATATTCAAGTTCCGTGTATTGGTCAATATGTATGTGAGGCGTTACAATCATGCCCACCTTTATGCAATCCAGCTTTTGGAAATGTTAAGAGACCATTGTATTTGTTGTTTATGTTACGAAAATTTGGGTGGTCACATTTACCATCATTCTGGAATTAGAGGAAAAAAAGCATCAATATGCATTTCTGAAAATTTACATGCAGATGATATAACAAAAGGACTTGAATTTATAGGCAATTTATTAATCAATATTGCATGAACAGGAAATAATGAAATTAAAAAAAATATTTTAATTAAAATTTTCGAGGCTCTTCTTCTTTTTTTTCCATTAAAATCTGATTCCACTACCACTTTTTCCACTTCAACTGCTAATACATCAAACTACGAAGAACAGGAAAAAATTATTCTTAACGAACCTCCTAGTTTATTCATGATAAAGACTCTTTTTATAAAAATTTATAAAGAAAAAGAATATAGAAAGAATGTAGAAATTAATGATTTTAATGTAAATATTTCTTTATTTTTCTTATTTTCTTATAAATAAATATACAATTTTATATTTTTGGTTTATTTTAATAGGAATTTGGATGTACGTTTGGACAAAAATTGTGGAATTCACGATTAGACATCAATTTTAAAAAATCTGCCATAGAATCTCCACAGACCATTCAAGAGTACTATAATGCTTTTCCAGAATTTTTAAAAAATTTTTTTTCTGGAATGGTTGATAAACTGTACGAAAAAAGATATCAATATGTAATTTTCAACGAAAAAAACATAATAAATGACCAAAAGTAAAAATTCCTGAACAGACAATAAAAGTTGTAACATTTATTGCATCAATGTTACTAAGTTTAGCTTTTCCTCACCTAAAGGTTTGGTTACCTCAAGTTTTAGCTAGTCTCAGTCATATGCCATGATTATTAGGTTATTTTCGACAATTGTTAACAGTTTGTCATGTAACATCACATACAGATCGGCATGAACGAAAACTTGCAAAAATTCGGATGGAAACATCAGATCCAACAAGACGCCTAATACAAGGAAGTAATGTTTGGAATTTGGCTATTATCGATAATATAGACTTTAAAGAGAAAAGCTTCAAATTTGGCAATATCTATGATGTTACTCATGGTAGTTCTCACATGACTCTTCGAATGGCTTTTCAAATTCAATTACCAATTGAAGTAGAAGCTGGCCCAGAAAAAATTATTGAATTAACTGCCAAAACTCCTCTATTTGAATATTGGTATTAATAAAACATTAACAATATTTCAACAAATTATATATAAACTATTGGATTTCAAAAAAATTAATGAAAAACTTACTTATGAAACAAACTTCAACACCGAAACTATTAAACGTGAAATACTTAATAAATTAGATTTTGGATGTCGTGGTCCATCTTCTAATATTGTTATATTAGAACCAGGATTAAATCCAAATTCAGATGATGAAATTTTACACGTTGCTGAAATGTACAGTCGCTTCAGAAAGTATCGCCCGATTTTTCGTTGTGTAATGATACACCCAATTTAAATTATTTATACCCCTATTTTTTATTATTTTAAATGTTTTCCTCATAATTTTATGACCTGATGAACGCATTGCACGGTTAAAAAAATTATGTCACATTATACTGAATTATCTCCTCTGGAGAAAAGAAAAATACTAGCATATATGGAAAATTTTAACCCTGCACAAATAGCAAGAAAAATGGGGCGTGACCCTACCACAATACGTAGATTTATTGACAAATACAAGAAGACAGGGGTGACTGAAAATTTACCGCGATCAGGACGGCCACCTGCTCTCAATAATAA